TTGGCAGCGGGGCACATTTCTTTTCAGCCGTCTGAACTGCACTTAACTGTCGGGGAATGCTTAATGTCCCTTTGAATAGCGCCGCAACTGATGTGGACCACTTTGTAGCTTGTAAACAAAGCGGTGCAGACCCGTTGTGAAATATTGGGCAGTTGCTACAATCAATTGGCACCATTGATTCCTATGGCTGCCTTTGTGTCCGTGTTTTTAGTTGTAACATTTCCTCTGTGTCTAATTTTTTTTGTTGTTGTTGTTTTCTGACTCTTTCCACTTCCTGTCTTCAACTACGCCTCGCTCCATTCCCCACAGACCTTCCCAAAGATGGAGGAGAAGAAGTACCTTTCGTCCTCCTTGTCTGCTTCTCCACTCCTTGTGGGTAATTGGCATAGACTGCTGACATTTACACTCTTTGCCCTCAGTGACATGGCTTCCTTTCCACCGTGAAAAAGCTTATTAGTTAAAATGATTTTTTCCTTTTTTAGTCTTTCCCTCTTCTCTCAGGTTCATTCTTTACTTTCTGCTGTTCAGAATTATCCTCTTGTTTTGGCCCGTGTATACAGTCAGGTCCATAATTATTTGGACAATGATAGAGTTGTCATCATTTTGGCTCTGTACACCACCACAATGGGTTTTAAATGAAACAATGAATACCTGCTTAAAGTGCAGACTCTCAGCTTTCATTTAAGGCTTTTTTCAAAAATGTAGTATGAACCGTGTAGGAATGACAACCATTTCTTCACACAGTCCCCCGACTTTAAGGGCTCATAAGTATTTGGACAAATTAACATAATCATCAATTAAACAGTCAGTTTTAATACTTGGTTGCAAATCCTTTACAGTCAATGACTGCCTGAAGTGTTGGACACATAGACATCAACAGATGCTGGGTTTCTTCCCTGGTGAAGCTCTACCAGCCCTTTACTGAAGCCGTCTGCACTTCCTGCTTGTGTTTTGGGTGTTTTGCCCTCAGTTTTGGCTTCAGCAAGAGAAACGCATGCTCAGTTGGATTCAGGTCAGATGATATGACTTGGCCATTACAGAACATTCCTTTTCTTTGTCTTAAAAATGTCTTTGGTCGCTTTTGCAGTATGCTTCAGGTCATTGTCCAACTGCACTGTGAAGCATCGTCCAATGAGTTTTGAAGCATTTGGTTGAATCTGAGCAGATAATGGTGCCCCAAACACTTCAGCTTTCATCCTGCTGCTCTTGTAAGCAGTCACATCATCAATAAATACAAGAGAACCAGTTCCACTGGCAGCCATACATGGCCATGACATAACAGTACCTCCACCATGCTTCACTGATGAGGTGGTGTGCTTTGGATCATGAGCAGTTCCTTCCCTTCTTCCTTCTCTTCTCTTCCCATCATTCTGGTAGTTGATCTTTGTTTTATCTGTCCATAGTATGCTGTTCCACAACTGTACAGGCTTTTTAGATGGTTTTTGACAAACTCTAATCTGGCCTTCCATTTTCAAGGCTAACCAATGGTTTACATCTTGTGATAAACCCTCTGTATTTATTCTAGTGAAGTCTTGTCTTGCTTACAAGAGCAGCAGGATGAAAGCTGAAGTGTTTGGGGCACCATTACCTGCTCAGATTCAACCAAATGCTTCAAAGCTCATTAGACGATGCTTCACAGTGCAGTTGGACAATGACCTGAAGCATACTGCAAAAGCAACCAAAGACATTTTTAAGACAAAGAAGTGGAATGTTCTGCAATGGCCAAGTCATATCATCTGACCTGAATCCAACTGAGCATGCGTTTCTCTTGCTGAAGCCAAAACTGAGGGCAAAACACCCAAAACACAAGCAGGAAGTGCAGACGGCTGCAGTAAAGGGCTGGCAGAGCATCACCAGGGAAGAAACCCAGCATCTGATGATGCCTATGTGTCCAACACTTCAGGCAGTCATTGACTGAAAAGGATTTGCAACCAAGTATTAAAACTGACTGTTTAATTGATGATTATGTTAGTTTGTCCAAATACGTATGAGCCCTTAAAGTCGGGGGACTGTGTGAAGAAATGGTTGTAATTCCTACACGGTTCATACTACATTTTTGAAAAAAGCCTTAAATGAAAGCTGAGAGTCTGCACTTTAAGCAGGTATTCATTGTTTCATTAAAAACCCATTGTGGTGGTGTACAGAGCCAAAATGACGACAACTGTATCATTGTCCAAATAATTATGGACCTGACTGTATCAGAATCCCAACGGCTTCCAACAGGAAGAACTACCACCAGTAGGCTGTGTGTAAAATGATGCAAAGACACCGTCATTCGGCGTCTGGGAATTGGAAATAATGTATGACATTAAGAAAATATGGTCCAAAAAAAAAAAAAAAAGGGATTTCACTCAAGCAGTGCCAGCTCGGTAAAAGTTATCCTCAGCCCCAGCAGCGGACGGCTAAGTCGGCAGCTCAGGCACAAAATGCAGGATTCCTGGCTGGCAGTGCTCCTAAAAGGCCCCATCATCCCACCGCAACTGACTTGGTAGGGATGAAAGACCCTGACAATAAGCCCCGGCTGACACAAAATGGAGGACATTGGCTCTTGGCTGAGCGGTGGGGGATTTCCGCTGGCCATGTGTGAGATTAACTCACCTCCGAGGTTCCATGCTGTGCTGACTCTGCTAGTGAAAGTGGAGAAGGATGAGAGCGAGGGAGTAAGAAAAGAAAGATAGAAAGCTATTAAACTCAAAGGTTATTACATTGCTGCCAAGGTTAAGGGAACTGGCTGGTAGATTTGGCAGTTTCCAGCGCTCCTCTACCAGGGCCAATCCAGCAGGCCTTCTGTGCTGTCGTGCTGAGACTTACTTCAAATATTAACAGTATTTTGGAAGGAAAAATGTTTGTTTCTAAAACATTGTTCAGTGTAGGAGTTCTTTGTTTGATGGTACCAATACCAGTACCCTTGAAGTGATACTGAGTACTGTATGTACCAGGGATGTGATTCATCCGCACCTGACAGGGCTGCATATATACATACACATGTGTTCGTCTGCCATTTAATGCCAAATGAAGAAGACAAAAGCGTACCAGCATGAAAGAACAACATCACATGGATGAAAGCAACAAGTGCAGCTGCAGCAACAGGTTTGCTTAGACTCATCGAAAAGAAAATGGTGCCAGAGTATTTTGTTAATTCTTTGCAATGGGTGCATCTTGGATTTACACTCTGCTGCAAATGCCAACAGTGTGATGAGGCACTAAGCCTTTATTCTGCACTAAGAGTTGCATGCTGTGTTGGAGTGACATTTCTGGGGTGGTCCACATCAGGCTACGGCATAGGCTCTACATCGACGCATAAACCCACATAGACTAGTACTTTGTGTTCCAGGCGGATCATCAGGGGTTAATACAAATTGCACAGAAGAAGTTTTTATTAAAGGAGTGTATGTTTAAGTACATGGGATTTATAGTTTTGTTTTTGTTTTGCACCATGGTATCAAATTTGGTGTCAAGAATCTTATAATTTCTCTAATATTGGTTTTGACTTCAAATTTTTGATTTTGTGGCATTTGATACCTTTTTTTCCTACTTCATTCAATACCTATTTAATGAAGGAAAGCATTTAGTTGTATAAAATGCCCCCACCACTCATTTGGTGGCGTTTTGGCAGGCCAGCTCTGTTAAATACACTGCACTCGACTTACCAAGATGCAGACCATATGGGTTGTAGCTGCTGCAGCAGCAGGCCGATCATATGTTGCATTAAATTGTTGCGAGCAAAACCATTCAAATATTTTTTTTCTAGACCTGGGTCCAAAAAGGATCAAATTTAGGTATCGTTTGACTGGATAAGTTTGGTACTACTTCGTACTGCAGTATATCTGTTAATACTTCAAACGTATTGAGTACTGTTCCACCAGTGGATTTTGTCCCCACAAGATTTATTTCAAAGACTTTAAATGAGCCATAAGCACGTGCTCCAACATACCAACACACGCTCACACACTCTTTGCTCCCCATGTGTTCTCTCCCCATATCCATCAGCCCAGCTGTGTGCCACACCTGGCAGCTCCGAACAACTGGAGAGGCATTAAAAATGAATGAAAACCATTGAAGAGAAGAGGAAATGAGGAATTAATCCAAGCCTGTGTGTTCATTTGGAAGAGTGTTACTTCTGTTTGTATGACAGATAATGATGGCGCTCATAGAGGAGCGTGGGAGGGGCAGGGGTGGCGGGCATACTGGAATTGTCATTCATAGCCTCATTCCTCCTGTTAGCGACTGTCGTTTATTTTCCCACTGCGTCATTGTCATTTGCTGTATTCTTTTTTTTTTTCCCCGCCCCTACAAAAACGGCACCTGTCACTGTGCGTGCGTGCGTGCGTGCGTGCGTGCGTGCACGTCTCTACACACTGGGAGCGACACAAAACCTCATCCTCCTTTGAAAATGCAAATAGGTTCTATTTGTGGCCTGCTCCTGTCAGAGAGTGGGTGAACGTATTGAGGGAAGTTTTTGTGTGCAGCTGTGCGAGTGTGCGCGTGGCATGTGGCTACATCTGTGTGTGTGTGTGTGTGTGCACCATGTGTACACACATAGTGTCAGCTCGCCTATCTGCTTAACACAACAAATATCTTTGCCTTGGCTGTTTGCATCTGCGTCCTTGGTAACTGTACTTTGATTTTTTTTTTTTTTGGTGCAGTGTGTCAGTATTGACAGCAGAAGTGTTAGTGGGACTGTGCGTCTGTGAAAATGCCACTGTTCATATTAAAATCATTCAGTTGAGAGTCCAGATCCTCACTATCACAGGGCTGACGTAGAGGGAGAAAAGGGAACAAACAAGCTGACTGTGTGCGAATCTGTGTGTCTGTGTTTACGTCTGTATGCATGAGCTGGGGGGCTGTTCTCGTGTGTGTGCATGTTTCTCGGAGGTCTGCATCTGCAGCGGATGTGTTAAGCCACGCAGCTTTGAGAGTGCAATGTGAATAATCTTTCTCTTTCTGTCTTCTCTCCCCACCCCTGCACTTCCTGACCCCTCTCTCCCATCGCTTCTCAGGAGAAAAACAAGGACAAAGACAAACGTTTCCGTCCGCTCTACGACATCCCCTACATGTTCGAGGCCCGTGAGTTCCTGAGGAAGAAGCTCATCGGTAAAAAGGTAAGAAGTGGTAACAGAAACTGAAAGCTCCCAATCATTTTCTGGCTCTGTGAATCAACTTGATTTGCCTTTAATCATCTTGTAATGAATTAAACAATAGCACTAAACAGGGATCCCCCCCAGTGGCTGTACATACACTCCAACACCCTCCTCCCCCCACCCACTGGTAGCCAAACACACATTTCGGAAGCCCTAAGCTAGGATATCTGTTTCTCTCCTCCTCTCAGTTTGAATAACAAGTACTATCGGTAGATGCCCTGGGGCTTGGTATTGGCCGGGATGCACCCTTTAAACAAGCAGTGTTGATTTCCCCCTCTTGTGTCTATTGATCTACCGAGTCTGTACACCTAGGGGGCTCCTATGATTTACACACATCTGACCCAGCAGGACCTGGCACTGAGCGAGGGAGCACTCGAGACACACGCCACCGCTTGAACATCTGCCTTTTTTGTCTTAAATTTGAATAGAGGAACTAGGAATTGAGGTTGGTTGTTTGAGGGGAAAAAAGAAACACAAAAGGTGATTAGATTTAAGGCTCATCGTTAGATACGTATAGGGACACACATGGAGTTTTTTGTCTGTACTCAGTGTTAAGATTTTCTGTATTTGTGCATGTTTACTGAAAGCTTACGGATACAGACAGAACCAACCAGTACCGCCGGAAATCATGGTGGCAGTGTAGCCGAAACAACTGTAGGACAAGACAAAGACATGTTATAAGTGACGGGACAAATCAGTAATATAGTAAAAAGACTTCTCCATCCACATGTCATGATCTATTTAATGGCTTCACAGACCAGTGCCGTCCACATCCGCTCTTGCCTTGGCAGAATCCAAATGTCCACCCTATGGACTTGGGGACTGAGCCCTCGCGGATTTCAGTCGTATGTACAGTGACGGGTTCACTGTTTTCACGTAAACCCAGCTAGGGCCGAGACCTCAAGCCGCTGATAGACGGCCCTCAAGACTCTCTTTACTCGTCATGGAAACATTTGAGCGACGATAACAATCATTGTAACTGCTGTTGTATGTTGTCTGCTAGATAATAAGATACAAATCCCATGTAAAGGGTTGTTTTGCGACCGAACAAAATACATTTCTGTATAACACACAGACTGCAGACATTCAAATGCAGAGATGGTTGTAAATAAGGGCGGGGCTATGACTAAATAAATCGGGTAGGCCTCTTAGTTACATCAGAAGATCTTTTTTTGGTTGTTTTTCGGCCACTTTTCTAGCCTAGCTCCCAGGAACACACCCGTAAAGTCCGCGAGTCTGCAAGTGCGATGAAATCCAGACGTTTTACATTCAGCCATTGTTTGTTGTTGTTGTCAGAAACTTTTGACTCTGCCCTGTAGTGCCATCATGTGGGTGTATCTATGCCGTGGGAAGTTGAAGGTCACAACATTTGAAATGAACGAATCTATTTTCGTATGTAAAGGGAGTCTTAATGGGACATTAATGTTTGAAATGGGTTAGGTACACTTATAGCCATTTCCACCGAGCAGTCCATTTCAGTGCAGTTAGTTACACATTAGGGTGTTTGTTTTTGCGTTTCCATTGTCAAAAGTTGTGGATGGTATCAATGCAACTGTTCCATTCTGTCCCTTTCTTTTCGTTACCCCTCTGTTGAAATACCCAGCACACTGTAGTCCATTGATTGGTCAAGAGAGGCTTGACTCGGCTGTATTTCTTTCTTCCTGCCTGCAGCCCTCTCTCAAACAAAGCCTGTCTCCTTCTAATTAAAAGCCACACTTAGAGGAAAGAATACAAAACACTTAATGTCCTTCGTTGTGTCTGTTTACTGAATCATGTTTCCTGTGTTGTGTTAGATATGATGCGGTGACGTGGTTGACATAGCTATTGCTATCCAGTAACAACCCTGCTACATTTAGGAGTACTGTCTGCTGTAGAAACAGATCTAGGGTTTAGGTATATGTCCCTTTGAGCTACATACGGGTCCTAAGGTTACTTTACTCAAAGTGTTTGGTGGAAATTCAAATTATCATGTACAAGTACTGATCTGTAACCAGCTCTGTCCAGTTTGCCAACTTTGCCTTGCATTTCAAAACAAAGTTTTCAGCCACACAGTAGATTGTTTCAGTCCCCTCTGTAAATCAGTAAAATGACGCCTACATTGTTGTCATTGAATGTACAGTGGCAGTAATGGCACAGGGAGAGGAGGCGGCTGTTGCTCACAGGCACGCCTAGAGCTGTTGTCCACTGCCTGAGTTGAATGATGGTTTATGTTTTTCCAAATAGCTAACTCTTAACACTTGTCAGACTGAGAGGGGCCGCATTATAATGGGAACTGTGCCGGAGACAGATTGGAATCTTTCTTTGCAAAAACATGGAAATGCAGTTGAAAGGGCAGACTGATGGAAAACTTTGTCAAAATGGCGCATTTACGCACAGTCACAGTGACAAAATGACTTCCCGAGTCAGAAGTTATCTCATAAATTCAATATTGTTTTGCAGCTGACTTCCAAGCAACAGATTCCGGAGCTTATACCTCCACAAATCAATTCTCAGCGTGTTTTTTAAAATCTCAACTCGTGTTTTTCTGTTGAGCTGAGAATGTACCAAACAAATGCACAGATTTCAGGGGTCCAAACCGACAGCACCTAGACAATAGATGGAACAAACACTCCCATCTCACACACTTTTACAAGTGCGCGGAGTAAAAAGGAACAAAACATTTGCAGTACAGCCTGATAAACACAAAAACACGCACCCACTCAAAGCCAAAAAGCCAAGAGAGTTCCTTTTGGCATTCAGTACAGGAGTGAGATTCATATCCCTGTCCCAGCCTCTCATCACAGTCATTTTAATCATCCTCATTAATGTTTTTTTAATGACAGAAAATTCAGCTGTGAGCTGGCTTTTGACAAGTGAAGCGAGAATAATGATTCTGCTGTTTATTTGTGGCGTTTGTGTTGGGGGGATAATGAGTGTGCACGTGGTGGGGATAGGGTGACTATAGCCTTGTCAAGGTGTAAAAATACTCTGCAAAGTATGCCATTAGCATGAGGATAAAATGTGTGTGCAGCTCAGGAGTGTAAACGACCAGATTGGCCTTGTTTGTAGAAATGGATGTCCGCGTTAAAATACGGTGGCTTGTGTGTGTCTATGTGGTGTGCATGCATGTAAATAAAGTCATAATACATCTACATGGGCATTTAGAGCCAGAAACAACATGCATGCAAACCCACACCGGTCTACTGTGGCTATTAGCTGTTCATTCCTGCTGGCACTGATGGCATGCACCTCAAAGAGAGGGAACAATAAAAATGGAATAAAATAACTCAGTACATAATAACAATGCAGGCACTATGACGTTCAGCATGTCTACTCCCTACCTTAACATGGTTTATGTGTTAAAATTGCCGGCACACACGCACAGAAACGAACACAGAACACAGAAACGTCGCTGAGATCAGTCCGTGCAGTTTTTATACCCGGTTTGATTTCACAGTATTGCTTGTTTAGACTCTAGGGTGTTTCAAAAGTCAGCTCAGCTAAAATGTTCCTTTCTAAGACTCAGGCAAATTGTTGTTTGTGGTGTTTATCGGAGAGGAAAATATGCATGATTGTGTATGTGTCAAAAGGAGTTAGTGTTGTAAGGGTAATAAAAGCATGCATGTTTTTTTTTAGTTTTTTTTTTTTTTTTTTAACCAGTGTGAGTCAGTAGCTCTGTTTACAATCTGTATTTAAATGCGTCCTGGATGATTCAATGACATGTGGACGGCTCTAAACGCAGGTGGGAGTGCAACTCCTTGAGATTTGAAGATGACTAAGGTCACATTTGAAGGTGGTGGTCATCTGGGAACTGTTTGTCCTCAGGGGGGAAAGAACAGAAGTCACAGTTCAGTTCATACCAGGTTTAGGAGTCAGTGCGAGTCGGTGCAAGTTTAGCACAGCAGAAAAAGAACAACATAAGGAAATGTTTCTTTTTATTTATTTATTTTGCGCAGAAAGTACTGCAAGTGTCAAAAACAGACAACATTGTCATGATGTGGACTGAGGTAACGTTTTGCCCACTGACAACTTTGTGAAACAATTTTCATCATAAAAATTAGGAACATTTCAAACACTTCTGTATTCCACTGTATGAACATTATCCAAAAGGCAGCTGAAAAACGTTGCTTGTGATATGAAATTGAGGATACCAAAATGAATAGAATAATAAAAAATAAAACGTCTACATTAGTAGGAGCATTTAATTTCGTTCTGCCTTGGCACCCAAACATTTATCATCCCGTTGTTCGGCACATCTGGTTGATGCTATGGAATGTGCATTAGCATGTTAGATGTTTCCATTCACGGACCCAACAACTAGGCCTGTCTCGATAATTATGGGTGGACTTGATCTCAGTGTTTTTGCTGACCTCGATATTGCTCGTTTTGTTTACATGCATGTTTGTTTATGTATGAATGTCACGAACATTTTAGCCAACATGATAGCTAGCATAAACAGCAGGGTTTTCCGTCTACTATCAGACATTGGCACAGCGCTCCTGCCTACTAATGCAAGTAAGAAGAAAAATAAAACGACACATCAAGGATGACTCCGTGTAGCTTACCGGTAGCCTGCAGCTGCATTTTTAAGGTGGAAGAGACAGTCATGATAGTCGTTATTTGCCAACCTCAGGTAACGAGCCAAAAAAATCAGTTGTTTGTAGTTTTACCCTCCAACAATGTCATGGATTATAGAGGTAACTATTATGTTCCAGGAGCTTTGCTGAGTTGGTCTATTAGTCCTAAGAGGCATCTTGGTTTTGTTTGTTGGCCAAATTTTGTTTAGTCTCAAACTGAGTGATTTTGGGCAACCTCTACAAAGGTGCTATAGATTTATAGATACTTTCTTGTATATATTACAGGTATTTCTTATTGTTCATATTCCAATTCCAGTGTGTGAATATTCTTAAGAATTAAAAGTTCATTATCACACCGTTAATTATCATGAAATCTGTGGCATAAAATAGTTTCAAAATGACAAT